CTTGATTATGTATCATGTTAAAGAGCCATTTAAGATAAGTACATCACTATTGTCGATTTTCAAGTATTTTTGTGAGATATTATCTAATACACACCCACTCTTGAAGTCTTCACATAGTATCAAACATATATATACTTAGAACATATCAAAAATAATGGTAAAAGCACTTAAATATCCTATAGAATATTTGAGAAAAGTTTCTCTTTGAAAATATTTTCCGATGAGAACTTGTTGTCATAGCATGTGATGATAACATTAGATCATATTATCTTTGTTGTGTATCCATTTCAAGGTCTATTCTTTGTTCTTTTGCTTTCTTCTATTTCTCTCGTTGTATCTCGGACTTAGCAGTTTGTATATATGTAAATTATATATAAAAACTTCTTCGGATTTGACATCCTATAATTTTTTCTTTTTTGTTTTTTAACTTAATGAAGTTAAATGTAACCAATCAAAATTATTCCGGATCGCTACATCATGCTATAACTAAAGTCATGCACTCTTTACATCAAGAAGAATATAGAAAAATATTTGATAAATCGATTTTTGTTTTTGTATATTATAAAATGTATATAGATAGCTTCTGTATTAGAGAAGACAAGAAAAGAGAAGAACATACACTGTGAAGGCCATATTATTCAATGTTATCATCACCCATCATGACAACAAGTTCTTATCGAAATTCTATTATTATTATTATGGTATTTTTGTACTATTTCAGTGTACATAAACAGAAAGTTTCCTTGAACTTTCTATAGGACATTGACGTGCTTTTGTCAGTACTTTTGGTATGCCGATGCATTTAAGGCCTTCTCTTCTCTCGTTCAGAAAATCGAAGTTGAATTTTTATCATAGGAAGATGTAGCGAAATTCTTTCTCTCTCTCTCTCTCAGAAAGTGTGTGACTTTTTGAAAAAAAAAGAAGTCAAATTTTAACAGACTTTCGAAAGAAGATTTTTGAGAAATTGTTATGGTTTTTTTAGTTTTAAGAAAACTGCTTCTTTATTTGCATCAACATTGAATAATTCAAGTATGACATCTGTTACGTGCTGTCGACAACTTTTCTTAAATATAGTATAAATATGCCATTTCTCAGAATATAGTTTTCAATCAGAAACACTGAAACTCCTCTCATTCGATTCAATATATAACTAATATTTGTTTTTGTTTTAAAGATCTAATTGAGAGTAAACTTTTTTTCGATCAGATTTTTTTTTAATAGTTGATTTCTGTGTTGAGAAAAGCGAGATTTAGCGTCATGAAGTAATATTTTTTTTTGCTTATTTTAACGCCATATACATATATTGAAATGATCATTAAAAAAAATTTCAAACTTCTGTTCGGATAAAAACTGCACACAAGTGTCCATGTGTGTATGGTCAACCACTTTCTGATATATCTGGTAGGCATGGTGAACAAAAATGTTTTATTAGCAGATGGTTTATGTAAAATTCATTCATGATATGATAAACCTTATTGTTGTCCAGCAATGCCTGCTGAAGATATAGATATGTTATTCGGATAGTGATTGTAAAGCAGATGAAAAATATTGTGGTACGTGTCCACCAATATGTATGAAAGCTTTTATTCCTAAACTTTCATTGAAAAAATAAACCTGTATTAGTATGCATTTCATGTTTAATAAAAATGAATTGACAAAACAACAACTATATATAGAAAGACGCTTAAAATTATTGATAGAGCTGGCGAATAACCTTGTTATCCTTATATCTTTGCAAAAATTTGTATCTTGATTAAACAAATATTTGATATTCTCAAGCTAAAAATATTGAAATTGTAGAGTTGCTACTCGTTCTTCAAAATAATTATTTGATTCTTGGCAAAGTGAACTATGTTGCCTAAAAACAAAGGAATATTCAGAAGACTTTCGAATTTTGATAGCTAATCGTCATTTAAATAGAGATTCATTAGATGAAATTGTAAAGTATATGGATATTTCACGAGCAATGGTTCAGTATATTGTGAATAAATTTATAAAAAAAAAACTTTCCTGATCTTAAAAAGGACGATAAATTACGATAGAAAGGGTGAACAATTTTATACGAAGAACATTGATTTCTCAATAATGAAAACTGTCTATGTCATTAAAGGCTGAAATAAAAAATCAACTAAGAGTAACATTATCTACAGTAACGATAAAACGTCGAATGTATGAAATTGGTTATTCACGATGGATCGCAGAAAAAAAACCTTAATGAGAAATATTAATAAAGTAAAATATTTAAACTCTATACTGAAATACGTTGAAAAGAATTATCGTTTTTGGAGAACAAATCATGTGATCTGATGAGGTCAAATTTAATTTTTAGTTTCAAAGTAATAGTTCGGAAAAAAGGCAATGAAGAATACAATTCACACTGTATATTACCAACAGTTAAATATCATGAGAGTAATGTGAAAATATAGGGCTACTTCAGTCGAAAATGAACAGGTAATCAAATGAGATTACGATCATATTTTATATTTCAACATGATATAATGATCCTAAACACTGAGTATAAATTTTATCAGATTGATTGGATAAAAAAAACGTGTGAAACGTCTCACCTGACTATCACAAAGTTCTAATATCAATCTTATTGAACATTTATGAACGAAAATTGATCGACGAATTCGAAAACATACACCGTCGAAAAAAAAATATGAACTGAAACAAATAATGTTACAAGAATGAAATCAAATTGAAGACGATATAACTGAAGCATTAGTTAATTGAGTTAAGAATCGTTTACAAGAATGCATAAACCAACTGAACTTTCCACCTTGATATAAATAGAATTATACAAGAAGAGAAAAAAGATAAGAAGAAAAAAAATTCATCATGTTTCTTTCCGGTTTTGATATATTAGAAAAAAAAGGCACAATGATTGGTTATATTTAATTATACACAGTAGAAAGATTCAAATGCATTTGAGAAGGTTGAGCGTGAAACTAATTTAATTTTGTTTCTTTTGATAAAGTTGATATCGTTTTCTTGTATGAAAGGTAAGACGTGCGAATAATTCTGAGTGCCTTTGTCGATAAATAAGTGAATATCTTTTAAAAAATGCTTTCATTTTCTTTTCTTTTTTTTTTAAAGAAAACTATTGACACATGAGTAAATAATTTACTTATCATATGTACCTCGAACATCTCACATGCAATTCTATTTAGCAACAATAGAGTTATTAAACACTTCCTGGCAAATCACAAAGGTAATCAATTCTTCGATTATAGTCAAATTACTGAATTTTATAACAGAGAATAAAAAATAAATTTTCACAAGAATTGTGCACGATAAACAATGATCAGTTATTTTTAAGAATTTACTTTTAATTTAACATCTCAACTAAATACATATGCTTGACATGAGCCAAACGTGATTCATATCACAAAGATAATAATTGATAACAAAAAGTAAAGAAATTTCAAATATTTACCGATGAAAGTATGAAATACCGTAGACAATCTTGATGATGATATAATCAAGTTATAATTGGTTGTTACTTGACTCGTTGGGTTAGTCTAAGATCTGGATTCCATCGAGTGTAAATTTTCAGAACTGGATTTGGGACCAACCAAGATCAACTCTTGATATCATCTTACATCTATACTAAACTACGGAATAAATTCTTACTGTACTACATGTGTTGAAAAAGAGCAAAATGTTAGTCCTTGCAATACACAATAGCATCACATTTTAGTAGAATTCACTTAAAAGAATCAACTTCCTTATACTCGCTAGTATGATTAGATTTCTTAAATGATCTTCTCTGATTAATGATATGAAATAAAATATTTTATATGCGTACTTAACATCATGACCGATGTTAAACGTTTTCGCCAATATCGAAAAAGAAACATTCTCTTGCACTGTATTAGTCTCGCTTAAGGATTTTTCTTCTTGAATACAATTACATAGACTAAAGTATAACAAGTGGTGATGTTCTGCAGTGTAACGACAATAAATACTGATGTTTCACAAAATCTTTTTTTTTGCCATATTTTTATATCGCTAAATTAATATTTGTTTACATAATTGCTTAGACAATCGTACTTCCAATCATAATTTTATTTTTTTAATATGAAATCATGTCACATTACACAAAAAAAAGCTAGTCTATGATAAGTAATATTATTCTTTAAACGTAAAAATTGAAACAGGAATTAAAAAAAACGTTATTCTCATGCGACACTATTAATATGTGTATATCCTGTCATGTTTAGAATGAAATAAAAAAATATCTTACCAGAAGAAATATCCAAATTGTTGTTATACCAAATTTCTCAATTTGCATGAATAGATTTCTTTCATGACAAAAAAATAAATTATTACTGCTCTTGTTTTTTTATATCAAGAAATATTTCTATTTGTCAAAATATATTTAACACCATCTGCTGTGATAAAATGTAACTTTTATCGAGCATAAATTGTTAAAGTATCCCTATTAAACACTATTGTAAATATAGACATACTGATGTGATAAAGAACTATATACAGATTCTAATAGGATCTAAAATTTTTTTGAAACATTTTATATTCTATGAAGTATCGCTTCTCAAAGAAGAAAATTATGTTTTTTCTAGCTGTTATATATTTTTTATTTGTCAAACGACCAGCTTTTATTGAAAGATGTTCAATTCCCACAATAGAAGAAAAATAAATCATCTCTGTTTTGCTACTATCTTCATAGCGATATTTATCGTTCCATTTCAAAATAACACTATTCTAATGTGTTGGCAGAAATTTCTTTTTTTACACTAGCTCTCTTAATTAATCGCAAATAATTAATTTAATTAATAGTCAGTTGCAAGTGTCAACAGTTTTATATGTCTATGCTAAAAAAATTTATTAAGCAAAGTAACCTTTGTCAAGAATCAAACTCAAAGGAAAGATGCATATATTCCATTTTGTTCGAAATGACCAATATATACATTCTGTTTACGTTTACTATAAACAAGTATTTAAAAATTTCTGGTATTTTTTTTGTTTTTTGTATTTTAATATGATGGTGGAAGTTGAGGTTGTCCATGAACACGAAAACGATAGATACAAGTAAATTCTGGATGACCCCAATTTGATTCAATAATCAATTTAATTAAATGATAAAATATTAAATCATTTGTTTGTTGAACATGAAATGTTTGAATATGTGAAGAATCTATCTTTGTTGTATCATATATAAAACGACCAAGAAATTGTCCTTCATTATCAATTGAATTTAAACCCTGAAACAAGTAAAAATAAAAAATGACGAAAAAACAAAAACAAAACAAAAACATTTGTTCTTACTCGAATTGAAAATTCTTTTGGTGCCGATCGACTTTGTCCATCAAATGAAAGTGTTTTAGGTAAATGTTCAAGTGTAAACATTGTTGGTCGAACAGGAAAAGCAAGACTAATAAGTACATAACCATGTGAACCAATCATTGGCCAACAATTACCAGGCATAATACCTTTCTATAAAATAATAAAATTTAAATTTATCAAAATAATTTAATATTTTACTCTAAGAATAATATTTGGTGATGCAATTCGTTTAAGAATTGGTAAACCAAATATATTAAATGTTGGTGAACGATCAGTAAATGTTTTTGATGAATATTCAGTAATAATTGAACCACCTAGAGAAATATATTAAGAATTTTTATTTATCAATCAAACAATTTACCAACAGATTCAAGTGCATAATCTGCTAATGCAATATTATCTGAATCATATTTTCTAAGAGCTTCATCAATGATTAATTTTATTTTCTAATAAAAAGAAAAAACATTGTTTTTTTTTCTATTGTCAATAAATACGAAAATAAATATTCTACTTGTCCACTATTAAACCATGAAAAAAAATTTGTATTACATTTATCAAGAATTTGTTGAATATCTTTTTCATATTCAATTTTCGAAACAAAATTATGATAAGTAATACATTGTGTACTGAATAATGAAACACAAAATATTTAAAAATTAAAGAAAATTTTTCTTTTACTTTGATTTACATGTTAATTGAAATTGTTGTGAATATTTTTCTAGTTCATTTCGAATAAATTCTTTTAATTTTATTTCATTTATTTTTGAATCAATTATTTGAGAATTATTAAAATGAATCGTAAATAACCATGCTGAAAATGGTATACCAACTAGCCAAATAACTATAGAATTAAAAGAAATTCGAAGAGTTTTTCTTGTTTTTTTTAATTTAATCAAGTGAATAATAACTTACAAAGAAGAATTGTTATTAGAATCAGAAGATTACGGATTTTATTGATTAAAAGAAAACTGTATTAAGAATTAGACAACATGAATTGATTAAAAATAAAACCTACTTTGATTTAGAAGGATTTTCAATTAATTGATCACCTGAGGAAAAAAAATAGTCTGTTGAATTTATTTTTTTTTTGTTTTGATTTACCTGGCTCTAATAATGTAGAGCGAGTCTTTGTGGATAACATTCTTGTATATTACGTAGGATCAAGAGAGTCGAACGATATTCATTTGATGTATACACCAATCAAAAAATAGAGTCTTTCAGTGATTTAATTAAAAAAGTGTCTGTTCCTTTTTTTGTGCGAAAACATTGGGTCATCGTTAGAGAATCTAAATCAAAATAGAATTCTGAATTTTAATTAATGCGGTGTGCAGCACACACAGCATTTATGTAGTTGATCACGTATGCATTCGATCTCCAGACATTGTGTGTTTTTGTGCTGTAAAAATAAAGACAATTATTAGATATGGTGTATCCTTCAAATGCATTTTTACTATTATTTCATTGTTGCTATTGAGACTTGTTTCCATTATGTTGAAAAAACAGAGTTCCCATCTCAAAAATCGTCGTTTTGTGGAACGAATTGAGAAACAACGGAACTTCATGTCGAGTTTTCGAAAAAAATTGATCATATAAGAACATGGAATTTTAGCAATATTTGAACGAAAATTCTACGACTTTCCAATATTTAGATCATCACAACAAAAAAAGACGTTTTCGAGTTATGTGCTGAAAAAGTAAAAAAAAAACTCGCGAATGATCAGCAAAGCGTGATCATTCATATAGGGTGGCCCAAAAGTAATAGGACAAATAAGTTTTTCGATTTTTTTTTGAATATAATAAGTTAGATCTCATATTTATACCATATATACTAGGTGACATAATTCAAAGATTCAATATGATCAGTATCTAGCTGTTAGAACTAGGCCAAAAGCGTATAAATAATATGAAGCTTACCAATCAGTGCCTGAGCGATTGCAACTTTGCAAAGACTTAGAGGGTGAAGATACTGAGCAGTTTTGTTGAAAGCTTCGCTATTAAAAAGACTTCATAAATACGTATTATTGTGTGTGTCATTTTACTCGTTCTATTGCTTTAATACACGTTTTGTTAGAACTCAGACTTAATTTCTTACTTTTGGCCACTCTATATTTGTACACTTTTAAACAAATTACTACATTTAGTTGCTGATCATATGCTGCATCTTTGAATTATGTCACCTAGTATATGTGGTATAAATATGAGATCTAACGTACTATGTTCAAAAAAAATCGAAAAATTATTTGTCCTGTTACTTTTGTGCCATCCTGTATATTTCATATTCCTTGATATTATTTAAAACAGACATTGATAGAACATGATCTAATGAATAAAAACTTACGATATTGTTTCTTTGTTATAATAAAAATTAATTCATAAGAAGCTCAATTTTTAGTTAAAGCTTTTCAAAATAAAACAGTAAAATAATATCTTTATACTCATCTATTCTATACTTATTTGTTTCAACATAAAATAGACAATCATGATACTAAAGCTTGCTTACAATCAAGTCAGAGATGAAGGAATGAAATATTTAACTAATGCATTAAAAAAAAAGTTTAGTGAGATTTTTAAATCTTACATTTAACAAAATTAACACTAAAGAGTACAATATTTAGCTGGTACATTAGAAAATAATACAGCAAGATAAGGCGTATCCACATATTTTGTACACTAACGTAATCAATCAAAACAATTTCTCATGATATTGAATATAGTCGGAGATAACATTAGTGATGAAGGAGTGCAACATTTAGCTTATGCATTACAAAAGAATAAGGTAAAGAAAAGTTCTTTAATAATCTAATTTATATTAATCTTTTCATTTAAAAGAGATCATCACAATCTTGCATCTTCCTAGCAACAATATTGATTGTCAATGTATACAATCTTTTGCTAATGTATTAACAAATAATAATCTGTGACAAACCTCGATTTATTTACCGTATCTGTAACATATATTGTTTAAATTAGGCACTCAAAAAAAGTTATATCTTCGGTTATTTATCTCATTCACTTTTATGTTATGCTACACAGATACTAGAATTATTGAAACATGGTTAGAATGGAATTAATCGAGAAGCACAATATTATTCAACTTGTGCATTAAAAAATAAAATCAAACGAGTATCTTGATGGTCAACAGCAGTCATCAAACATCGTGTGATAGAATAATCACTGCTTGGTTTTTTTCTTCAAATTCTATAATGCTTTACTTTTTAAGAAAATATTTTATATTTTTGTAATAGAATTATAGATATAAAAAAACAAACCGAGAATGATGTATATTTATAACCTATATTACATTCAACAAACAATTTCTCATCCATTTAGTAAATCATGACATCGTTGATGATCACAATGATTTGTTTGATTAGTACATGTTATTGTTGTATTATGATGACATGATAGTTCATCTGATTCATCAAGTAAATTAATTAAATTAAAAATAAATCAATCAAAATTATTTTGTTTTATAAATATCTACTTTCATCATATAAATCTGAATATTGTATACAAAGATTTCTATGAGTAAAATGAAATTTTGAACATGTTAATGGTCGATTTCTTGTTTGGCATGCATCATGACTATCTTCATCAGTATCATCACCATAATCATCTGTATGATCACATACACATCATCGATAAATACATCGATCATTTGTATATCTTTAAATACAATGAAAATATAAAACACGATGTAGATGCTTTTGTTAATAACAGGGAGATTATTTAATTTTTTCTATTTTAGGACATATTTCTTCATCATCATTTTATTTAATCCTTCTTAAATGGAGACCTACATCTTAATTGGCAAATAAAGACCTAATTGTGAATGGACCGAGTTTTGTTTTCAGCATGAGCCAAATTCGGAACAAATTAATCTGGGATGGAAATACTTGTAACGAGACGTTATTGATATACGATCTGTGGTGTAGGTTTAAATTTTTACCCTATACTTCAACACTTCTTTTAGATCGTGTTTCACAAAACATGTTTTTCTGTTTTCTTCTTATCCACAGAAATAAAAAGAAAAAAAATCTTATACCGAAAACGATTTGTTGGATTACAAGATACTATTCGGCATAATTCAAGTGTTTCATCACTAAATAAAAATAAGATGAATATCATAAAATATAGAGAATAAATATCTAGCTCTACTCAGAATTTTATGTTGATTCTGAATATACTATTTTTCCAAAAGCAAAATAATTAATTCAACTTATTTTTTGCTCTCTTGAACTTGTTTCGTGTTAGAACATCACAAAAAGATCTAGCTCTCGCTTACCAAAAATAATTTCCAACTTTATTCTATTTTTTTTAGCGAAAGGTAAGTTAAATGACTTTCAATTTCTCTTCTGAAAAGTAAAAAAAAAAGTGGACGTGCGAGCCCAAATCGCATGCGGCAACATTTACGCGCTTTTTCCGTTAAACTAAAATTCATAAACAATGGAATATGACTTATTACTCATTTTTACAAAAAAAACCGTAGTTTCATTTTTTCAATTCCATTGCTAATAGTTTTGCTATTCTGTTTCGTTACATATATTAAATAAATTGTTCACTTCGAATTTTACTTTGTCTAGTACAGTTAATTTATCATTCTATTTGTATAGAATTTTGGCCATCTTCCTTACCACAATTGTGTATCTTCTTCTTTTATCTCTAATCTTGAATTTGTATGAACTTAAGCATAGAAATAATTAACACGAATTAGTATTATAACAGTGCACACGTACCGAGTTAAATTTAGTAAATAAAAATGGTTTTATAGTTCCTATGACGATATATTGCTGTTGATATGAAATTGTGGTATTTTGCTTCTAATTGATTTTAAATTTAAATTTTCAACAGTTTAAATTCAAAATGAAATTCAATAGACGAAATTTTAATCTACAATACATTTTAACATTCATGTAAAGTAACTTTAAATTTGAATATTTTTGGAATCTATATCTGGATTTAATAAATTTTCCGACATGTAATTTGATTGATACGCAGCTATTAATAAATGAAGCACTATTTATTCAGAAACATTGGGAAAACAAATTCAAGAAAAAATCAGCAAAAAAGATCTTCCATTTAGCTCCGAGTGGTTGCTCGGTGGGATGGACGTTCCGCGAGTCTGAGTTGATGAGGTACGGAGTCTGCCATCGCCCCTCCTTGAAAGCTTAGATCATCTTTTCCACTCCCCATACGGTATTCATCTCTGGTGCCTATGTCCATTGTTGTTCGATGAAAACTATTATTCGATTGAGATGATCATAGAACTTTGACAATAAACAATTGATGTCCTTACTAAAGCTTTAATGGAATACTCATGTGGCGTTTTTCCCATTTGAAGTTCAATAAAGGAAAGCGAAACATACCACGAGAATCCGCTCGTTAAGATCTACAAACTGGTATATATTCCATTCAAAACTGAGAGTAACACTTGGGGACCTTCTCTCGTTAGTGAGAAAAATTTCACTTGAAGAAATTCTCTTGTAAAACTCTTTTATAAAATCATAAATAACTTCTATCGAAAATAAATAATGATTTCAATATTTTCAAAATATTAAAACATCTTTAACACCATACATAGACAAATTTTTAAGGTCATGAACGAAGTTATGAGTTCTAAATAAAATAATATTATCTTGAAGATTTTCACGTTGAAATCTGTTGTATGAATTCAAATAGTTATGTTTTCTGCAAAGAAAAATGATTCAAAATAGAAAAAATCAAAATCTGTTTTCTACGCAATTCGATATCTTCTACAATTTAGAGACACCAAAAAAAAATATTTTTTTTGCCTGGGAAATCACTATATGAAGATATAGTTTTTCTCCCTTTTTTTCTATATCATATTTTCATTGTATTTGAAATATGTATTAAAATATTATTTCATATACATATACCAATAATCATACTATTTTAATCTGTCTTTGTTTTTTGTTTTCATCTTCATTCACAGTTATACAAAAAAACCTAATAGACAAATACATCACCCATGTTTTTCTTTTTGTCAGTTTACACAAAAAAAAAGAACAATCATAAACGCAGTAAAATTTTCTTTGTTGTATTTTAAACTAGGTCATACATATATATATATATATAGATATATATTGACCTAATAGAAAAAAAAACCAACAAAGGTATAAA